CCGGCCGCCAATCCCCCCCCACATGCCCTCTCACCAAGCGGTCCCTTCCCCCACCTCACGTGGCCGCAAGCTTCCCGGTGCTCAACGGCCCAGGTACTCCTGGCCCGGTGGACCGATTTGGCCTCCGGCCTTCGCCCCAGCGTGGCCACCCGGCGGCCTCTCCCGCGTGGCGGCCTCGCGGCTCGCCGTCCCCCTCCCTGCGTCGCTCCAACGTCACCCAGCCGGCCCCAACGGCCACCCTGCGCGCCAACCGGGGAACGAGACCGCATTTCACCACACCTCGCACCGCTCCCACACCGAACCCCGTGCGGCGGAGGCCACCGCTCCACTCTACCCCTCCCCGACCCCCGAGCAATTCTATCTCTTCTCCGAGACCCAAGCCAAGGTTCCGCGCACGCGCGCCCTGTCCGCTCTCACCTCGCGCGAACGCACTGACTCGACCCCGTCCGCCCGCCGCGAGCCCAACCGCTGCCTCCGAGCCCGCTGCTGCCGCCGCCGCCGCCGCCTCTACCGCCGCCGCCGCTGCTGCACACGGGTCTTAGTACGCAGGCGCCGACTCCCCACTGACCAACCAAGCAGCCCTATGACAGCCGCGCAAGCGTGCTATCTGTCTCCTCCGCCCTCCACCCACGCACTGCGCAAGCGCACAGACCCCCCTCCACCCTCTCTCCCACCTACCCTTCCAATGACGTGAATACGTGACCCCGCCCCTCAAAAATACTAAACTCTCCCAACCAGTCAGCAACGCGCATGCGCACCCGGTTTTTTAATCCCTTCACACTCCTTTTCCCTCCTGCTGATAGATCCCTAGTTTTACCGGACAGGCCTTGCGCCTGCGCAATAAAGAGACCTGCACTCCACACCCTCTGTAGGAAACGCCTCGGCCTCAAGGCGCCTGCGTACTGCTAAACCTAAACGCCCCTTCCACCTCAGACGTCTCCTGCACGCCGGACGTTGAAAAGACCACGCCACTGTATCGCTGGTCTCTTCTAGAACGCATGCGTCTTAGAGCACGCCCCACCTCAGCTTTAACGGGACTTAAGTGAGGCACACGTTTCAAAAAACTTGCAATGTGGGATGGTCTTATTGTCTCTAAACCCAGGGCTTCTAAATCCACACATGCGCGAGGGATCTCTTTCCGCTTCTCTCTTCCTAGTGCGTTAGTGTGGTCGAGTTACCTCCTATCTCAGCTTCACTGAACTGTACGCCACTGCTATGCCATAGAGTTTCACCCAGAAAGATAGAGCGGTCCGGTCCCAGCCACCATCTTGTTTAAGCTGCAGTCTATATTGGTCCCTACGGCTTCGTTAGGGACTGTTTAACTCCTGAATCTAAAGAGATTTACATAGCATTTACGTACGTTCCTAACTGTGCGCTGCACTGCGTAAAAATAAACTGTCTACGAGCTCCCTTAGAAAAAGTTGCCTTTAAAGAGTGTAAAATTCACTGACACTAAATCAGAGAAGATGACCATGAAGCAGCAAACTAGCTATCACCCAGTTTTATTTCCTTGGCCTTCGTCCTATAGTGGACACCTTCTTTTCCTGAAACTCTAGTCTTTTCCCCTCCAATTTCTAGGTTGCCAGCACTACTTTCGTGGCTACCTTGTTCGCTCCAGTAAGCTAGGTGGACCAGAGGACTATTGGACAAGAAGAGCTGAGGTTAGAATCCAGAACTCTAAATCTGATTCTTGTCTTCTGTGTGGCTTTGAGAAATTACTTAAAAACGCTGTGCCTTAGGCTTCTCTCCATAAAACGAGGATAATAATGATGTCTGATCTTCTCTACTCACCCGGATACTTAGAGAATCCTGTGAGATGATGTAGGGTAAACTACCTTAACTCCTAGCTAGGTTCAGTTCCTCTCTTCTCAAAAATGCCCACATGACCCAGCAATTCCGCTTCTTGATATATACTCAAGAGAAATGAAGGTATGTATGCCCACCAAAACGTCTATGTTCACAGAAGCATTATTCATAATTGCCAAGCAGTAGAAACGGAAATGACCATCAACTGATGGATAAGTAAAATGTGATATATCCCATACAATGAAATATTATTCACCAATAAAGAAGAATGAAGTACTGATACATGCTGCAACGTAGATGAACCTTGAAAGCATTATGCTAAGTGAAAGATGCCAATCACAAACAATATTGTAGTATTTCATTTATATGAAATGTGCAGAATAGGCAAATCTAGAGACACAGATGAGTTGTTGCCTAGGGCTGAAGGTGTTGAAGAAAAATGGGGAGTGACTGTTACGGGTATGGGGGGGTTCTTTCCAGGGTAATGAAACTGTTCTAATAATGTGATAGTTGCACCACTTGGTAAATATAATAAAAACCATTGAATTGTCCACTTTAAATTGGTGATTTATATATGATGTGAATTATATCTGAATAAAGCTGTTACTTAAAAATTTATTGTCCATTACTTAGGAAGCAGTGAGTGTTCGCTTATGGTGATGGGAAATTTGGCACATTATGGGTGGTAGTTGCACAATATAATTAATGTAATACCACTGAAATTGTACAAGTAAAAATATACTTGAATTGGCAAATGTATTACATATTTTTAATAATAAAAAGAAAACAATGGTCATCTTCGTATGACAGTACATACTGTGCATAGTGCATAGGCTGTTCCTGTCAGACATTGATGAAGTATGCTAGCTGAGCTAAAGCATAAGCTCCGCGATCTCAAAACAGGACTGAGCCCCAAAAAGCTTCCAGTCAAAACCAAAGAGGCACAAGTGATCCTGATGGAAGACTAAGGCATACATACTCAGAGAAAGACAAGGGCAAATATGGTATAGTGTTGGAGAGTGATAAGATGGTTAAAAAACCAAAACACCAAACTCTCTGCCATTTGAGTCGATTCCAACTCATAGCAACCCCCATTAGGTTTCCAAAGCAGTAAATCTTTACAGAAGTAGATTGCCCCATCGTCCTTTCAAGGAGTGGCTGATGGGTTTGAACCACTAATCTTCTGGTTAGCAGTCATATGCCTTAGGCATTGTGCCACTAGTGCTGCTTTTGATAAGATGGGAATTGTCTCTGCAGGATTAACACAATCGAGAGTAGAGTGCTCAACTTTGTAAGCCCCAACATTTTATTTTGCCAAGCCTCTCCCGACCTACCACAGTCAGCTTCTCATGTTATATGTTTCCATAGCAAACATTATAGCATTTATCACAGATTGTTATATTCATTTACTTAATTGTTTTATTAATGTCCAATCTTCCCCATTAAAATGTAATTTATATAAGGACAGAACTATGCCTGTTTTGTTTACCATTGTGTCCCCAGCTCCTAGAATTGTCCCTGGAAAACATTTGGTACAACATAAATATTAGTTTAATGTTGAATAAAGGTACACCTGACTCAAGGTAACCAGACTCACAATAGATTGACAAATAAAAGTTAATATTAACTTATTCATTTATAAATAGTGAAATAGTCAAGAGCCATAGAACATCTATGTTGGCTGGTCAGTTTGTCTACTCTTTTTAAAAGAAAATATGTTGTTGTCTGTTGTTATGTGCCGTCGAGTTGGCCCTGACTCATAGCGACCCCTCCTTGGGTTTCCGAGGCAGTATCACTATGGAAGTAGATTGCCCCATCTTCCTTCCAAGGAGTGGCTGGTGAGT